GGTCTTGAAGAGTAGCATCAGAAGACAGAAGGGCTGCGCCCAGCATGATCAGGGTGCAGGGCCCAGAATCCTTGAGAGGTTGTTTGGAGGTTCTAGCAGGGGAGCGCAGCTACTCGTATACCCTTGACTGAAGAACGGTCCTCCTCTATTGGGGAAGGTCGTCCTCTTCCACTGAGCGAGCAGCTTCGGGAGGGACGCACAAGGAGCGGTGAGGGAGGAAGAGGACACCCGCCTAGCCATCCAGATCAGTAGAATCAACACTGGTGATCAATGGGGTGACAGATGTCGCAGCCAGATAGCCCTCACATCCAGGGTCCAGAATCCTGATGGGTTTGAGTATCAGTACACCTTTCATAACTTTCAAGACTTCTCCACCTCTTCCCTTCCTCCTGTTTTGGACTCCCCCGCCCCCTCCCCCGCCCCCTCCCCCGCCCCACACTCCCTTTTTGTTGATCCTTTTTCGTTTGCTTATAAATATGCTCAAGTCTTTCAGTATCTCCTTCAAAGTCAGTGGCCAGGTACTTTTTACTCCATACCCAAAATATCTACAGCAGGATACTTTAAAATATTCAACAGCTCTTTTCTCTCTCCTTCCTTCCTTCCTTCCAACTCAGGGGCATTCTACCACTAAACCACATCCCCTATTTTTTATTTTTTTATTTTATTTTATTTAGAGACAGGGTGTCACTGAATTGCTTAGTGCCTTGCCATTGCTGAGGCTGGCTTTGAACGCTCAATCTTCCTGCCTCAGCCTCCCAAGCTGCTGGGATTACAGGCGTGTGCCACGTTGCCTGGCTCTTATTTTGTATTTTTGAGATAGAGTCTTGCTAAGCTTTAGAGACTTAACTGCTCTTTTTCTTATTTCCTTGTCCTTGTATGCATTGCCTCACTTTGGAAAGTTTGGCTACACCTTGAAGTTGGGCTCTTCATGGTGTTTTGTTTGTTTGTCATTTGCAGTACTGAGGATTAAACCCAGGGCTGTGCACATGCTGGGTAAGCACTTTAACACTGAGCTACATCCCTGCCTCCTCCCCCCTTTGACCCAGGACCTTGCTGAGTTGCCCAGGCTGTCTCAAACTTGAGATATTCCTTTCTAAGCCTCCACAGTAGCTGAGATTACAGGCATGTGCCACTCTCCTGGCTCTTCCTAGTCTTTTAAAAGCCTAAATGCATTGCCAGATTTGTGCTGGGCAGGTTGGATGTACACACTGCATTCAGAAACTCAGGGAACCTCTAGGTAGCTCACTCTGGAGGCCAGATGGAAGATGACTTCTTCCAAAGGAGACTCTTTTTTGTGTGTTCCAGGGATTGAACCCAAGGGCATTTTACCACTGAATTATATCTCCAGTCCTCTTTATTTTTTATATTTGGGGTACTGGAGATTGAACCCAGAGTTGCTTTACATTGAATTACACGCTTGGACTTTTTTATTTTTTATTTAAGATGGGATTTCACTAAGTTGCTTAGGGCCTCACTAAGCTGCTGAAGCTAGCCTCCAACTTGTGATCCTCCTGCCTGAGCCTCCGGAGTTACTGAGATTACAGGCTTGCACCACTGCCCCTGGCCTGAAAGAAATTCTTAGGAAGCTGCTACAACTGTGCAACGTAAAAATGATGACTACCAGTGAGAAGGGAGGAAGGAATTTGAGGCTTATAAAGGAGGTGAAATAGATAGGACTTGATGATTAATCAGGGATGACTCATGCATTCCTGACTTTCTAAGTCTGATGACTGTGTGATGCTGGTGCCAACAGTTGAGGGAGGAGCCGGAATGAAGGAAGAGGATGAGTTCTGCTCTGGACACACCATGTTTGGGGTGTCCCTGTGAGTTTAGATAGAGCTGCTTGTCAGGCAGTTGGATATTTGATTCTAAATTTTGTGGAAGAGGTCTGGGTTAGAGATTGCTGATTTGGCAGTTGAAAGCACGAGGGTGGAGTTGAGCCCTCAGAAATGAGTGGAGTGAGAAGAGCTATGGGTTTAGAGCAGAGACCTGCATTTAAGATTTGCAATTGGTGGCACTTAGGATGCCACTGAAGGAAGCAGTGAGCTTAGTTATTGAGATGTGACAATTGGGAGTATGCAATCTTCTGGAAATGAAGGTAGTACAAATATTCCAGAAGGTGAGAGCATCCAAGGTGTCCCACATAGCAGAGATGCAGAGAGGACTGAGGAATGCCTGACAAGTTTGAGAACCTGAAGCCCTGGGTTACTCTTGCTTGAGCAGGATGAAGAAGGATGTGAATGGGGAGGGGAGAAGTCAGATTGCTAAGTGCTGAGAAGCGAGGAAGTGGAGGCCAGCAGGGGAGACCACATGAAAGGGAGAGAAGCGCTTGGCATTTAATCAGAGAGGGTATTCTGATTGGCCGGTTGGCTTGATAGTTTTGCTTTTAGGACTGGGAAAGATATGAGGGGGAAACAACTTAGAGCTAAAGGAATTGGGGAAGGTTCAGAGGAGGTTTTTCTGGCCCCACCCTACCCAGACTGCTTTCTTTTTTACCGTTTGCCTAACACGTCCACACCCCTTATCTCATGTAATCATTTCTACACCTTGAGGTTTGAAACAAACTGTGAGCTGAGGAGTTGGTAATACACAGCTGTGGATCATTTCGGCTCAGTGGCAGTCTATACCACCATTGAGAGGAAATGCCACAAAATTCTCCAGGCCCACCGAGGGGGACAAGGGGCGCTGTGTTTCTTGCCTTCTATTAGGTGTCATCATGGACTTGACACAGTGATTGTCTCAAATGAGATGTCACCCTGAGCTGTGGACCCGTGGGGGCAGTCCCCAATAAGTGTTCAGGCTGAAAGCTCCTTGCACCTGGTGAGGTGTTCCCAAGTGTGGAAAATAGAGGCTGCACGCAGGTGGTTCCTTCTTCTAAGATGCTCAATCATCTAAGAGTTCTGTTAGCCGCAAGGTGGAATAAGAACTGTGATGACCAGGCGTCAAGGGCGTGGGCTAGATAAACACAGGGCAGGAAGATGGCGGGAGCTATAGGCAGCAGGTGGCTTAGCGCGCTCCCTGCTCCTTTCCCCGCGGCGAAAACCAAACCCGCGATTTGAACATCCGGCCTGGGCCCTACCAAGAGATAAATCTTCTGCGGAGGGAAGCATTCAATTTTCATTCAGCGTTAAGATTCCTTCCCCTCGGAGGAAGAGGGTAGGTGCAGGAGATTTCTCGTGCTCCTCCTGTTCTGCCCGAGGCAAGGACGCAGAGCCCTGATCCAATTCTAATTATAGTATTTGGTTGGTTTATTTGAGAGGAGGAGACCTAAAGGAATGAGAGACCTGGATTTGGAGCTAGCACCTGGTTTCCTCTTCACCACTTCTAGCTCAAGCTTCCTCCTTTGACCTTGACTCAGGGCAAGTCTGCACTAGTCACTGGGCCTCAGTTTCTCTGTTCGTAAATGGGGATTTGGCCTGTGATCTTGCCTCTGCACGGCCGGGATGGCGAATTCCACTCCATTGCGCCAGAAGGAGCCGCCCTGCTTTATCCATCCTCACCCGAAACCCAACTTTTTGCGAATACCTTTTTCTAAGCCGTTCTCCCCTAGGTAGGTTTGCGGCCGAAGATGATGTGGTGGGCGGGGTAGAGCCATCGCCCCGCCCCGCCCCGCCCCCTGACGTCCCCTCCGCGCCCCTCCGCCCACGGCGCTGGAAGAGGCAATCACGTGACTTCACATCCGGCGCGGGATTCCCGAGCTAGCGGCGCGCGTTCCCCCGCTTGCCTGCCGGCTCTCCCCGCAGCGTGATCGGGGCGCCGCGGCAGAGGGGAGGGGGGTTCGCTACGTCGCCGGCGGCGGGAGGCCGTTTCGGAGTGCAGACCGCCCCCCTCCCCTGCGAGCCTTCCCTGCCGCCCTCCCTTGTTCTCGTCCTGTCCGCCTGCACGCTGCCGCCGCGGGCGCCGAGGAGCACATCGCGGACGCCCCTGCGCCCGGCCCGGCCCGGGCTCCGCCGCGGCGCCTCCCTCTCCTCAGTCTGAGCCGCAGCGCTCGGCGGCGGCGGCGGCGGCGGCGGCGGCGGTGCCTCGAGCCCGAGCGACCCGCGGCCGCCGGCGCCGGCCGAGAGCGATGGGACTGGGCTGAGGCGAGGCGGTGGCGGCGGCGACAGCGGTGGCCCGGCCCCCCGCGGCCTCTTGTTTGCTCGGGCCGGGAGGCCGCAGAGGAGACGGTGCAGCAGCGTGGCGAGTGAGTGTCCCCAGCGAGCGGGGAGCGGGCCGGGTGGGTGGTGGCGATGGGGAAGGCTGGAGCAGGCCAATGATATTGTCGGGGTGGCGGGTGCCAGGTGAGTTTACGGGCTGTCTCCTCGAGCCGGAATTGGGCATCACTTGTCAGGGAAGGTGTGTGTGATGGGGAGGGGGCGCTAAGACTCCGGAATCTAGGACAGGTGAGGCGAGGAAGAAGGGTCCACGTGGTGGGTGCGATGGCCTGGTGTGGACCCGCCGCTTGCGAGGAGGGCAAGTGTGCGAGGACGCCGGAGCGCGGGATGGTGATCCAGGGCCTCTACAAAGTCCGGGAGATGGCGTGGTCGAAGATGGAGTGTTGGCAGGGCTCTTGATGGGTTTGTGCGGGTGCTGACTATAGGAATCCAAGTTCGTCTTCACCCGCGGATTAGTAGAGTCTCTTCCTTATACCGCATTGTATAAACTAATCCCCAGAGAGGAAAAACGACTACTTTGTTAAGGCCTCCCTTTCCTACTCTGGTAGTATGGACTAGAAAAGCCCAGAGCCATTTACTTTAGTACTTTCCTGGCCATTCTGTGGCATTTCTTTCCCATTTTCTTCAAAGGGTCAGATTCTGGTGGAAGCATGCCTCTGGGTTTTGGGGGGCGGACTGGGGGTGATTTTAGAGTCGGGGAATGGGATTGGGAATTGACAGTAACTCAGTTCGGGGCTTCCCAGTTTGGAAAGCTCTGGTGACAGGTGTTTATTGTTTCCTCTTCCCATAGATCTGTCAGAAACATCCTAGGATCTTGGTGTCTGGACATAGGAGGTATGAATCATTCTTGTAATTAACCACTTCTAATCATCAGTGTCTTAGAGCTATATTTAGTGGTTATATTAGTGCAAAATGAATGGGTATGGAGTTGTAAACCTAGAAACGGAAACCTGTGTTCCTCTACACATGATTCTGAACTAAATGAGTAGAGCATACTTGAGTATGTAAGGGCTATTTTAGATCTATGAGGCAGGAAGTTAGAATTTAAGAAATTTAAGAAATGCACTGTCTTCAAAAGAGTTTTTTGCTAAAATTAAGGTGTTCTGTAATTCTTTTGAAGGGCGAGTACATAATTAAAAGTGCTGTGCTTTCTCCCTTGGTTAAAACTCAGGTTCTTTGTTAAGGCACATGCATTAATTTTGTTCTGGTGGCTTATATGTTGCTTTGCTGAATAGGCTACAGTTGCTAGAATACGTGTGTGGGTATACCATATTGGTTTAATCCCACACCTGAACCCAGGGCATCATGTTTCAAATGCTTTGTTACTAAGCTACAGCCTTAGCCCTTTTAAAAATCTTATTTTGAAGCAGGGTCTCACTCTGTATGTCTTGAACTTGTGATTCTTTCGCCTCAGCCTCCAGAGTCCCTGGGATTACAGGCATGTGACACCAAACCTAGCTTCAACAACCTCTTTTTAAAGGCACATAGTTCCTGGAAGTTCTTTGAAACAGTAAACCTATTATTAATGATTGTTGTAGAAGATACTTTTTTTTCTCCTTTTTGAGTTATAAAGAAAAGAGGTTTATTTTGGCTCATGGTTCTGTTCTAAGGTTAAGGGGCTGTATCTAGTTTTGTTGGGGGAGTCCTGAGGTGGCACATGTGTCATGTAATATGTTGAAAGATTAGGTGTCAGAATGTAACTTTAAATTTTTTTTTTGGCATTATATACCATTAGGTCAGGCAGAGAGAAAATTAAATAGTTAAGCGAGGTTTTTAAACATTCTTAGAACAGTACTGCCTGTTTTTGGTCAGGGGAATGGGCAGGAAGTGATACTATTTGATTGCTTCAGTTAAGTAGTATAATAAAAAATTAAATAGTTTATTTTGAAAATAACGTCAGGCTTCAAGTTGATGCAGTGCTTTGTTGTAGGAGGACTGATTTCTTTGTCCAGACCAGCCAGTAAGCTTTATTTAGATAACTTATGGTAATTAATTTTTTTTTTTTTAAGAGAGAGAGAGAGGGAGAAAATTTTTGTTTGTATGTGATGCTGAGGATCGAACCCAGGTCGCACGCATGCCAGGCGAGCGCGCTACCGCTTGAGCCACATCCCCAGCCCGGGAGAAAATTTTTTAATATTTATTTCTTAGTTTTCGGTGGACACAACATCTTTGTATGTGGTGCTGAGGATCGAACCTGGGCCGCACGCATGCTACCGCTTGAGCCACATCCCCAGCCCTGGTAATTAAAATTTTAATTTACAAGTTTTGTTTTTTTTTTTTTTAAGTTGTTGATGGCTTTTTATTTTTATTTATTTATATGTGGTGCTAAGGATCAAATCTAATGCCTCACAATGCTAGACAAGCGCTCTACTCACTGAGCCACAACCCCAGCCCCTACAAGTGGTTTTAAATAGAGTAAATTCCTGTATGGGTAGGAAAATAGTAATAGTGATTAGAACAAATTATGTATTTCTGAATGTCTAAACAGTATTTTCTAATGAGCTATATGATCTTGCTTTTCAGATATTAGAGCTAAAATACTTAAGTTGGTTTAGTTAGCTCTTAATAGATTTAGATATTGTCCCTTTCCTGTCATTTTTTTAATGTATTGATTCTTATGTGGCTAAGAACTATCCACATAATCTGTAGCAGATTTTAGTAGAAAGAGCATGGACTTGTGAATCAGACCTGACTTTGATTTCTTATTTTTTTTAAGTCTAACTTTGACTAGTGCTAATAGTTATTGAGTGAGGTTATTGTGCATAGGTTCTGAAAAAAAAAATCACTTAACATGAATTTTCTCACTTAATAAATCCTATTATCCAGATGAGGAAACGGAGGCTCAGCAGTGTTGTTACCCAATTATGTACAGCTAACTTGATTAAACCTAGAAATAAAAACTTCTAGGACATAGACAGTAATATAGAACTTAGATTCTGGCTGTCTTTGAATCCCTTAGACCATAAGTTGCTTATTTCTTTTTTTTAAGTTCATGTAAAAAGAGCCTGTTATTATAATTTGCTTGAAAGCAGAAGACTGTCCAAGTGAAGATACCATGTAAAAGAGAAATGATGTTTATATAATAAGTGACATTAAAGATGAATTCTAATATATCTATTAAGGAAAATGAACCATAGGGCTGGGAATGTGGCTCAGTGGTAGAGCATTTACCTAGCATGTGTAAGGCCCTGGATTCAATCCCCAACACTGCAGCAAAACAAAACAAAACAAAAACAATAACCCTAAAAAGCTTTTAAAACCAGTAGATGGCATTTTCTCTTTAATGCTCTTTCATGTGTTGTTACCAGCCTTCCTCCTATCTAACTGATTTTTATTCATCTTTTTTGATGATAGTCTCTTCCTCAGGGAAATCCTTCTTGAACTTGCAGATTTTTTTTTTTCTTTATCTTTTTTTTTTTTTTTAATTTTACTTTTATGTCCGAGGGATTGAACCCATAGGCACTTAACAACTGAGTCACATTTTCAGTGTGCCCCCCTGAACATTTGTTAAAAAAAAAAAAAAAATTTTTTTTTTTTTTTTTTTTTAAAGACAAGGTCTAACTGAGTTGCTTAGGGCCTTGCTAAATTGCTGAAGCTGACTTTGAACTTGAAATCCTCCTGCCTCAGTCTCTTGAGCTATTAGGATTACAGTTGTGCATCATGGCACCTGTATTTTTCTTTTCTTTTTTTGATGCAGTACTTGGGATTGATCCTAGGGGTGCTGTACCACTGATCAATACTGTACCCTTAGTCCCTGTGTGTTTGTGTTTTTTTGAGACAGAGTCTTCCGAAGTTGTTGAGGCTGGCCTCTTAATTTGTGATCCTCCTGCCTCATCCTCCCAAGTGGCTGGGATTAAATCTAGCCAAACTTCTAGATTTTAATGGGTCTTTTTATACACCACTAAGGCCAACTGCTCTTCTCATTCCACTCATCTGTTCAGTGTCTGTTATCTCCACTGGCTTGTAAATTTGATAAAGCATGAATTGAAACTTTTGTTCAACAATATGATCCTTAGCATCTGGCAAAATGCCTGACATAGGATAGACATTCAATAAGTATTTGAAAATAAGTGACATCCTGAGTAATAGCCAGGAAATAAAATGACTTACCAAAAACTAGATAAAAATAAAATAGCATGATTATAAGAAGTCAGTACCCATGAATAACAAGTTCAATATAGCCATATATGTAGTCAAGAAATGCAATTGAGAAAAATTTATATGGCTGAAAATGAAGGCAAAAATAATGATTCAATGCTAGTGAGATTATGGTAAGCACATGGAACTAAAGTGGTTATCAGATGTATATGTTACAGAAAGAAATGTAACAAAATATTAATTCAGATACTCATACCTTTTAACACAGATTTCATTTCTTAAGAAACATCAGATGTGTATTAGTTGCTTAATGTCTCAGATTTTTTTCTTTTTTTTTAACAAAGAATATTAATATACTTCAGAGGGGTTTTAGAATTAATTAGCTCATAATATAGGTTCTGAGTACTATTTATTATTGGCACTTAGTAAGTAGTTCCTTTCTCCTTTCCATTCCATATATTGAATCAGCATATGCTTTTGTAGCATGGTGGTTTTGTGATCACTGTTAATATGAGACTTTAAAATGTGAACATGCTTTATTCCTAAAATGAATAGTAATCCTAGGAGATATATCCTAGATGATGTTACTATAGACTTATAACCTACTGAGCAGTCAAACAGTGAAAATGAACAGTGGTATGAAAGTACCCTGTAGAACTTTGTTTTAATTTATTTTTTCTTAGTACTCTGGGTGTTGGTGAAATAAGAACTTTATGCTTATGAATGATAACAAAATGATTGTAATTTCTGAAAACATGGAAGACAAAAATAGAATTTCAAAATGATCTTGATAAACTTGATTTATCTAAAATAGGTTCTGTCTGCTGGTATATGTGGTGACCTAAAATAACTAAATAAATAAATGGACCATAAATGGAACAGGAGTTAGCAGCAGCTTATCACTTATTAAGGAGAACATTATTAAAGAGAACACTTTTTTTTTTTTGGTACTAGGGATTGAACCTAGGGGCGCTCAACCACTGAGCCATATCCCCAGCCCTTTTTTATATATTTTTTTGACACAGGGTCTCACTGAGTTGCTTAGGGCCTCACTAAGTTTGCTGAGGCTGGCTCCGAACTCTCCATCCTCCTGCTTCAGCCTTCCAAGCTGCTGGGATTACAGGTGTGGGCCACCATGACATCTTAAAGAGAACACTCTTAAAACTCTAATTATAGAGGTATGCTGAAAGATGATAATCTAAGCCTAGCCTAGGGATACATGCTTGTAATCCCAGCAACTCTGGAAGGCTGAGGCAGGAGAATTGCAAGTTTGAGGCCAGCGTTAGCAATTTAACAAAACTTAAGCAACTGAGAGGGACTCTGTCTCAAAATTTAAAAGGGTGGGGAGGCTGGGAATGTAGCTTAGTAGAAGGCACCCCTGAGTTCAATCCCAAGTACTGGGGTGGAGTAGGGTAGTTAATCTAATGTCTTGACATTTCTGAAGGTGACAAACCTGACAGTAGTCTGTGCTTACTTGTTCGTGATTTCACTTTTTGCAGTTTTAATTTTTCTTCCGTCAACTATGGTTTATGAAGAGTATTGGTTTGAAAGTATTAAATGGAAAATTTCAGAAATAATTCATATGTTTTAAGTTTCCTGCTGTTCTGAGTAGTGTGATGAAATCTTGAACTGTCTAATCCTTGTCCAGGATGTGAATCATGCCTTTATTCTTCATTTCCACACTGTGTATGCTACCTGCCTATTAGTTGCTTAGTAGCCATCTCTATTGAGATGGACCATCATGGTATGTCAGTGCTTATGGTCAGGTGACACATTTTACTTAGTAATGGACCTAGGGCATTAGAATAGTGATGTTGGCAATTCACATATATCAAAAGAGAAGCCAAAAAGTGCTTCCTTTAAGTGAAAAGGTGAAAGTAAGGTACTTTGAGACAGAAAAATGGAGACACCAAATTTACATAAATGTTATTACAATATATTGCTATAATATTTTATTGTTAATCTTAACTGTGCCTAATTTATAACTCACACTTAATCATAGTTGTGTGTGTATACGTGTGTGTGTACACATATTTAGAGAGCAAAACACAGTGTGTGTGTATGTATGTATGGTTAGTAATATCAACTGCTTCAGATATCCACTGGGGGTGTTATACTGTGTCTCTTGCTGTAAAGGAGCAACTTTATGCCATCTTATCTGAATAAATCTGAACCTAGAGGTAGCTGACAGGATTTACCTTTTGATTTTGGAATTTTATGAGTTAAAGTTAACTGGTTTATAGAGAGAACAAATCTGTAGTCATCAAAACCGTTCTAGCTAACCTGCGTTAACTAGATAGTTCAGATAACGTGCAAGAAGCCAGGAAATAATTCTTAGATACTTACTTGAATTTATTTTCATATTTTGAGAGTAAGAAATAAGAGAAGTTGAGAATTGGGGCACATTTTAGTTAAGATTTATTGAAAAAAAGTGTTCTGAGATTATTTAATCTTGAGAAAAGTAGGTATTTTGTAAGGTAGAATGTCCTGAAGTTAATGATAACTAGTGGTAGGGTAAGTTATGAATTAATATCATTTGCATTACTATGATTAAAAATAGAGGTAATGTTGTTGTATGTGGCATAGGAAAAGTGGTATCTTTTATCCCCACTACTCTGGAAGAGGGAGGATCATTTGATTCCTGGGGTTCAAGGCCAGCCTGGGCAACATAGGAAGACCCTGTCTCAAAATAAAAATTTAAAGGGCAGGTAGCATTTTGTAACTCAGTGGAAGAGTGCCAACAGCAATAACAAAAAAACAAAACAAAGTGTGGGGGGGAAAGGTAATATAAAATGTCATTAATGAATGGTATCTGGAAAAAAATGATCAGTGTTACAGTAGTTTAAAAAATATTTTTATGGTACCAAATAAGAAGGGAGAAAAACAGAATGAAGGAAAGAGAGAGCTATCCAAATAATCAAATGTCTGAGACTGAGAGAAGTTATATTAGGATTGAGATTGCTGGAGAGTATCATAGAGCAGTTCAGAAAAATACCCCAACACTAGATCTGTAAACATCTTAGACTCACAGGTCATATTGGGATTTTTGCTAGGATTAAAGATGGTAAAACATTAACTCTAATAGCAAACTTTTAAGATTGCCAAATTAATCTGTTAATCAGAATTTTGTCTCTTACGCTT